AGCTGGCCCCTCAAAATCAAATGCTCGCAAATTCCAGGGGTACCCCAGGGCCAGAGTGAAGCTTGCCAGGCCCCCAGCACACAGGAGGACCCACACTTCACTGGGCAGAAACAGACGTGGAACCTCCTGTGGGGGAACAAAGGAAGAAGCCCAGCCCTGACACACAGATGTCATCATGCACGTGTTCCCAGCCTGCTCCTGCCTTCAGGCCCCGCGACATGGGGAATCTCAGTGGTGGCCACGGTCCCTCTTGTCCCCCTTGAAGGCTTACCCCCCCGATCTCTGCTACCATACCTCCACATTAGGAGCTAAGTGATCTCGGGCAAGACAATTAGTCTCTCTGTGCCTCAGAACCTCAGTTTCCTATCCTGTAAAATGGGTGACAATAGTTATAGTAGACTCTTAGGCTGCTGTTAGGTTCCCAGGAGACATGAGAACACCCAGCACAGTTCTTGGCACATAGAAGGAAATGTGAGTTCCTTCGTCTTCACGATGTGTCCGTCTGTCTTCTTCTCCTTCTCCACTTGCCAGAGTCTCAGATCCTGCTGGGCATTGTGCGAAGGGCCCAGCTGGTGCAGGCTCTCCAGGCTGAGTCCCCTTCCTGGGCTCCAGGACACCAGGTGGGTACTTCTGAGGGGTGTTAGGACCGGCTGGGGCGGGGGTGGGTGGGCAGCAGGGCTGTGAGTGGGGGGATGGCTGATCTCCTGTGGGACAGGGGGTCTGAGAGGGGCAGCCTGGGGAAGGAGGAGGCTGGCCCAGTTGCCCCTAACCCTTCCCCCATCCCCAGCGGTGTCTCCAGGACGTCTTGGCTGGCGGCTGCCCCACAGAGCCAGTGACCCTGCAGCTGTCTCCAGAGACCTCCCTGCACCAGGTAATGGGGGGAATTCAGCAACGCAGGCAGACGAGGCCCCCTGGGGTGGAGGGGAAGAGCCCGACCAGACGGGAAACCCAGGCTCCAGCTCCCCTACCTCGCCATGTTGTTTCCTGCTCCTCCCGGACCTGCTTCCTCATCTGCAGAATGGGCGTAGCGTTCCTGCCCCGTCCGCCGGCTGATGCAGAGACCAGGGCAGTGGGAGGGCTTAGGAACTAGCCTCTGGGCCGAGAGAGAGTGGTGTGGCATCAAGGCGCACGTGGGTTTCAATTCCAGGCCCACATTCTCCCTGTGTGATCTTGGACAAACTACTTAACCACTCGGGACGGAGTCCGCACCTGGGGTGGGGGAGGGGCAGAAGCAGGCCGGGTACCTGGGGGTGGCCCTGGCACCTAGGGGTGGCCCTAGCCCCTCTGCCGCAGGACGGAGCTGGGGAACGGGCCCTCCCCCAGCCTCGCCCAGCCCCTCGCGCGGACTCTGGCGCCCCCTCGTGGCCACTCTGGGCATCGCAGGCCCGAGTCCCGGGTCTTCTACGCACACCAGGCCCCGCCCCGCTCCTGGCACAGGGATGTGGGGCCGTGGCCCAGGGGGGCAGCGTGGATACCCCCTGCCCTCCAGTGCTTCCTAACGTTCCCCTCCAGGCGCATCACCTCTTCGAGCTGTTGAACCTTCAGCTGCTCTTCGTGACGTCGCGGGGCCGAGCTGTGGGCTCCGTGTCCTGGGCCGAGGTACCGGGGTACCGAGGGCGGAGGGAAGCGGAAGAACCCTGCCCGGGCAGACAGGGGAGGTGGGGGCCACCAGCACCTTCCCATCCAAATTTGGGGGGCCTCACAGGATTCTGATGAGCCACACTTCTCGGCCCAGAGTGGCCACTGGGCCTGGCCACCCCTACCTTGTTTTGTGGCCAGTGGCCAGCCTGCCCCTCTCTGGGCCTCAGTGATCCCGTCTATGCAATGGGGAGGCATGGGCTCTCCCAGTCACCCCAGAATCGACTGTTAGGGGAGTTGACGCCCCCAGTCTCAACCTCCTCAACATCCTTCCTCCAAAAAAAAAAAAAAATCCACCTTTTATTCTGTTCTAGATGAAGAAGGCCATTTCCAACCTGACAAATCCGCCAGCCCCCAAGTGAGCCAGTCTGCCGAGATGAAACAGGGCATCTCAGCTGCCGTGACCGAGGCTGGGCAGAGACCCTGCCTCCCCTCCCCCATCACAACACGCCCTCCCCGCCAGCCCAGCTCACCTCCTTGGCAGACAGGCGGCTCTAACCTAGCCCTGAGCAGGGTCCTGTGTTCACTATGCCCATCCTGGGTGGGGCAACGGCTACTGCCTTGAAGGACAAATGCCACTTTGGACAGAGCTCAGAGTACGAGATGGCAAAAAAAAAAAAAAAAAAAAGCACAGCACACGGCAGATGCTCAGGAATGTTCATCAAACTCCTGAATGAAGAGATTGGAGTATGCTGTCACCAAGGGCGGGCACAGCTGGGGGTTGTCTGCTTCCCAGCCAGAGGCTCTTGAGAAAAATAAAGCTGGTCCCCTTGTCTCAGCTCCAAGGGTGTCCTGATTCCTGAGCTCCTTCCCTGTGCTGGCCCAGAGGTAGCTCCTGGGGCCATGGTGGCCACACGGTGCTGCAGGGCTGGGTCCCCCGTCTCCTCCTGCTGGCAAGGAGATGTCCGGGAGAGAGGGTCTCCCACCAGGTCTTATGATGTCCTCATGCATAAGCAGGACCCTGTGGCCCAGTGATTTTCACCCTGGCCCTGGTCCCCTCTTGGGCTGAGCCTCAGCTGATAAAGTGGGGTCCCCCGGTGTGGCTCCTTGGGGAACCCACAGAGCCTCTGGCATCCCCCACAGGGCCTCTCCTGGCCGAGTGGTAGCAGGTCGACCAGCTCTGTGTACGTGTTGGGGGGGGTCCTCCCCTAAGTCCCTCTGGACCCCCTGCCCAGGGGCCCAAAGTCACGCCTTTCCCAGCAGAGACCAGGCCAACTTCATGCAGGTGAATCCACGACTTTAATGTCTTTAGAGAACTTTGGGGAGATGGGAGTGGGACGAGGAGGTGAGTGGGCTCCCTGAATGGGGTGCACGGGCACCAAGGAAGCAGGCTCAGAGAGTGGGGGACAGACAGACGTCCTCGTGAGGAGCTGAGGAGTGAGGCTTAGCTACCAGAGTGAAGTGGCTACCCCCGCTTTGGTGGGGGCAGATATACAGAGGGGTGAGGGAGGGACCGAGCCCCAGGGTCAAGGCCCCACTCCAGGCCCCACTCCAAGTGTCCGCCTGGGGCCGGCTGCCCTGGTGTCTGCAGAGAGTCCTTGAGCTCCCTGGAGGCAGACGCCCCGCTGGGGAAGGTGCCCACCTGCACCAAGTGATGAAGGGAGGAGGGGCTATGGCTCCCACTGCTGGAGGCAGGTCCACCGAGGCACAGAGTGGTCCACAGGAGTGCTGGCTCCCCGCCCACCCTGTCTGCCCCGATGGGTCGAGATGCCCAGGCCTGGACCGCGGGGTCCTCATGTGCCTGGGCTGCCCGCCGGGCAAGGTCGTGGTGTGCGCAGGCGCTGGACCCATGCAGCCCGCGCCTCAGTTGTAGAACACCTCGTCCTCCTCCCACAGGGAGCCGCTGTCCACCAACGGGAGGGAGCCCGGCGGGCGGGCCCCACCCTCGGGCCCCAGGGCCCCTGCCAGCCGCTGCCGATGCTGCCGTGCTGGGCTGGGGGGCTGCAGGCCGGCGGCTGTGATGGGGGGCTCCTCGGGAGAGGGCCAGGCGTCGGAGGAGAGGCCGGGAGAGGAGAGGGCCAGAAGGCTGTCATCCTGTGAGGGGCCGCTCTGGAGGCTGTCCTGCAGGTAGATGCTCTCCAGGTCTGGAAAAGCAA